CAAAATCCGACAAGGGTCCATTCTGCCTGTCCACTGCCTTCAAGGCATCTTGGAATTGTGTAAAGGCGGTATCTATCAAACTTCCGATCTCTGTTTGGGCGTTATTAAAACGCTATAAACGAGTGCCCGATCGGACGATTGTTTGGTACCGCCTTAGAAGAAATTCTAAGCCAGAGTTGTAAGAACACTGCAATCTAGCTACAAGTTCAGTAGGAACCAAACTACAAAATATACGCAAAATCTGCAATTACACAAAAGCTACAATATTTCAGGCTCTACCCGGGTATAGTCGGTCGAGTACCCGCAGGAAGTGCTCGAGATGATCTAGCACAGCAACGTGGTCGAGGTTTGTACTCGTTACTGCCCTTATTGACCTTTTGAGTCTACAGTACTCTCATTACTCTATCAGGATTACCGTAACATTTGCTGATTCGTTGCAGGGCCAGAAATGGGAATATCCGAGGATATTCTACCGATTTTGATGCAATTACTGCAACAAATGGGACCAATAAATCCCTCGGCTACGGTAGCGCCGACACCAGCAACGACAGCAGCGATGGATGAAGCATTATTACGACAAGAGAAACTAAGACAATTACAGCAAGCTGCCGCTGGGTTAGTTATTTTATAGCTGGGTTAGAGGGGGAGGGGGTAACGATTTTTACAACCTTTTAATTTTGTTTTCAAAATTTTGCTTCCATAAATGCACATCGGCATTTTGTTCTGTTTTGAAGTTCATGTTTTTCATTAACCTGCGGATTTGTTTACAAAATTAAGTGCAAAGAATTTTTTATGACCCTACGATCATAGTCCAAGGTCCATGCAAATCCCATCTCTCTTCAAAATTGATGCAAATAGGTCATAAAAGTGCAATATCCCATGGCGCAGTGCTGCAGAACCCTTCAAAAACGAAGAAATCCACTCAATAAATTTCCTCGCACCTGGCAAAATGCCAATTATCGAAATATTGGAAATTTTTATGGTATCGATGGCTAGTGCGGGGGCCGGTACCACTGAGATCACGAATGTGACTCGATAATAGTCCGGGAAATTTTTCCGCTCCCGCATTAGTAATGCGAATCGATCGAACTTTTCGTCAGCGTTTTGCGTTGGTGTGGTTTTGTGATGATAATTTCTGGTTTCGTGGATTTCGGAATTTGCATTTTTCACACTTCATGTTATGATTTGAATCTTCTAGCATTGGTTTTCTTGAATGAGAAACGATATTTTTACTGTTTTTTTCAAATTTTGGCTGTAAATTTGTGTTTTGTAGCGAGTTGAGTAAGGTTTTATTGCGGAATTTTATGATTGTGTTGTTTTTTTCTACGAATTGTCCTTGGCTTAGATTTTTTCCATTGAAAGTATCTCCCTGTTTGTATGAATATGAACTCTGAATATGCTCTAATGTTGCAAAAATAGTTATATTTACATGTTAAATTCGTAAAAATGTCATCTATGGAGGACAAAACTATGCGCACTTACGCATCGGTCCTGGGCAACCTAGAAAGTTCTTAGAATAGGCGTGACGGGCTAGCAATGTGTGACGTTACGGAAAGTTAGCAAATTCACGTAAACTGGCATTTACTGCAAATTACGTAGTTTTTTTTT